TGCATGTGGACTACTTCATTTCCTTCCAGTTTAATTACCTAATTTCACCCAGTTGGAAACCACCATTGAAATGAAATCCTTTGTTGGCGTTGACATTTTTTGTAATTGTGGACTAATTTTTATGATTTCCTTATATTTTATTGGCTTTTTCCAATGATGTGATTTCACCTCTAGGGGGAGCCCTCTGTTTCTCTATTGGTTGGGGAACCAGCTAATTGGTGTGGTTAATCGCACCGTAACCAGAAAATGCTGCCGGCAGTGTGTGTGTGTGTGTGTGTGTGTCTGTGTGTCAGAGTGTGGATACAACACTGGACTGAGACTCCGTATGTGCTGAAGTGGACTGCTTCTGCTGGATGGGACTTGAGGGATCACCCAGAGATTCAGACAATAGCTTACCCAGGGTGGGCCTGGTGGGGTGGCTGTGCTTTTTAGGAAGGCTGTATGTCTACTGCTTGGCAGGAGCAAAATAGTGTTTGTGTTGGTGTGTGTGTGTGCTCCCAGTGTTACCAGTTTCTTCAGTGTCTTCATGGAGGCCTCTCCCTCCCTGCTGTTTGCTTAGTGCAAGCTGAGGCAGACAGCTCAATGTGGGCTTAGGATTCATACACACACATACACACTCACACACCTACACTACATGCTCCAGGCACTCTCATTCCCTTTCTTCATCTAATCTTGATTCAGTGTGTGTATGTCTGTGGTTATTGGTTCATAATATTGTCTATATTGTGCATGCATGCATGTATTTCTTTGTTATGTTGCTGTGTGTGCATGCATATTGGTGTATGTCCTTTTTGCTGCCGTAATACTTTATGTGCATGTATTTGGTTGCATATGTTGCTGTGTGTACGTGTGTGTATATGCATGTGTACAGGTGTCCTTTGTGTTGTTTTTGTGCCCTTGCACAGTGCAGGCCTGTGTGATTGTCATTTCCATCATGTCTGCCTGGACATTTTTGGTAGTCAGCTCCAGTTTGTTGGAGAGCTGGCACTATGCCAGTTAATTCCAAAAGCTCTCTGCGCTTGGGAGTATGTGTGCATCCATTAGGGCAAAATATAGCTGGAGTAAACCTGAAATAGAAATAAATATTCAAAATATTACAAAAAATGTTGGAATCAATTTTCATGCTGAATGAGGCATATACCCACAGTTTGTGTGTGTGTTGGTGCAGAATCCGGTTTCAGTTTTCCTTCATCGGCTGTGTGGTTCGATGATGGGCAGTTTGGTTTCTCTGCTCTCCTCCCTGCGGTCTGTGTTTCAGCAACTGCGTGGTTGGTAGGACCACAGTGGCCACAGGCCAGAGTGTTGCAGCCGTTACAGTTTCCCCCTCTACATGGAGGAAAATATGTTAACGTGTAGGCTGTAGTGGAGCCTTTCTTCCTTGTCTGTTAAAGAAAATAGAACGTTCTCTTTCCTGCTGGGAGATTCATACCACTTTGATATCTGTATGATAAATATGAAGCTACAGTCAGGAAACTGTTAGCTTAGCATAGCACAAAGACTGGAAGTAGGGGGAAACAGCTACCCTGGCTCTGTACCAAAAACTTTTGTTCAGAATAAGCAAACAATATGTTAATTAGTTAGGTTTAGATGTGTTGGTAGGCAGATTATTTTGTTACCTTTGGACAGATCCAGACTAGCGGTTCCCTATGTCATTATGCTAAGCTACGCTAACAGTCTCCTGGCTGTAGCTGCATGTTTACCGTATAGACATGAGAGTGGTATCAATATTCTCATCTAACTCTTTGCTTATTTCCCCATCATGTTGAACTGTTCCTTTAAGTCTGTGCTATGCTGCCACATGTACAATTTACCAGCATTCAGCTAATGCTTTATTTTTACAGTGTGACAGGATACATTGCTATTGATGAACTCAGCAGTAGCTGGTAATCTCAAAGCCACCCTGTCACCCACCTGAGTAAAAAATAACCTCATATAATAGTTTTTATTTTATTGTGAGTGTTTTTTTTTAAATCACTCTCTGTGTTCCACATACAGCTCCATAAGGGATTAACAGGGTGCTGAATTAAGAATGGGTTTATTTCTTTGATATTCTGGTTATAGAGCAAGCTGGCCAGAACAATGAGAGATAGCACTGGAGGTAATGTTTGCTGAGCGCGTTCTTTTTGCTGCTAACACCCCCCAAATATCAAATCTAAGAGTTGAAGATTATTATTTTCCAAATTGATGTTGAACGTGTGATTTTGTCTGATAGCTCTTTGCAGCTGATTTCGGGGTTTTGTGGTCCAGAAAAATGTGTGAGCAGCCCTCTTTTAAACAACAGTGAGCTGAAAGATGAAGTGTTATCAGTGGGCCAGTCTTTTCACAGGTCATCCTGCTCTGTTATTGCAGAGTTCTCTACTCTGTTCTCTTTGTCCATCCTCTTTCTGTCCCTTTCTCTCCTCACCCCTTCCCTCTCTGTCTTTCTGTATTTCTGCCTGTCCCTCTGTATTTCTGCCTGTCCCTCTGTGGATGTAACTTTCCTTTCTCCTTTTTTCTCCTCTGCTCGTCTCATCCCCCCTTCTCTCTGTCTTCAAGTGTCTTCTCCCAACTTTCTCTTTGCGTATCTCCCTCTCAGCCTCACCACTTCGAGTGCCTCAGCTCTTCTCCCGTACGAGCCTCCAAACAGGCAAACAGTCATGCGGCTCTCCTATCACAATATAATGAGATTGGGAGCACCCAAATTGAAAGAAGCCATTTTCTACAGCTGTCAACTTATTATCGAGGGGGGACCGACTTATTCCGGTACCTTTAAAGGCACTGGAGGGAGAGAGGGATGGAGGTGATGGAGGGATGGAAGGGTTTGAAGTGCGAGGGGTGCTGAGGGAGGAGGTGGATGGGGAGCTAAGGGGTGAGCTGTTTTACATTTTGAATGTTTTCTTTTTTTTCCCCACTCAGTCTCTTTCTCTCTGGTATTTCAGTATGGTCACTAGTGCAGCCTTGAAGTCCAAGTCTTTTATTCACCATGTTCCTCTTAATATTTTAAAAAGCAGCATGTAAGGCTCTCTGGACCTGTTTTTTTTCTTTTAAATGTATGTGAGTGTTTGAGCACCTCTGTGTGTTTGAGTGTGTGAGTGTTTATTCTCCGTCTTCATGACTATTTATATGCAAACAGTATACTTGTGTCTGAAGGAATGGTTGTGTTTCTACTTTGGCCAGGCATCTGCTGGTACAAACTCTGATTTAAAATTCAAGCATTTAGGTGTGCAGCGCCGAGTGGTATCCGACAGGTTGTGTGGATGTAACCTGCAATTTCTTGAGAAGGCCTCTAAGCAGCCCTATTCGTCATTTCTTTATTGGAAACTACAAAGAGGATCACTGGCACAGCACTAAAGCAAAGTGATACGAGGTGAAGAAAAAAGTCTGGTGACGCACCTCCAACGAGGCCATAAAATACTCAAATGGTCATACGTGCAGCGGATAGCGGGCGCTGAGCTGTACAGAAACATATTCTCTTCCGCAGAAGGCAAGCAGCGGTACATTAACGAACATGAGCACAGCATGCCCCACATATTGACGCCCTGATCACATCCTTTAAATGTCACACGTCCAGTGATGGCCCGCGAGGTTGCCGAACTGGTTTAGGAGGTTTTGAAGATGCCACGCACAAGCTGTCAGACCTCACCAGTATCTGCTGGGTCTGATGGTAGAGTTGAATTTGTCCTTATTTCCAACCAGGACATTTGATTCTACTTGACATTTTCACAAGAGGGTCTTTCCCCCCATCTTTCTGCTTTTTGAAAGTCAGCTTTTATCCATTTTAAGGACATTAAACTGTACATAATCTTTTTGTTTGAGAGTCTTGTTACATCTTTTCAAACTTGCTTTTATTTGGCTCAAGGATGATTATCTGCTCTGTTTGTACCTTTACAGAGTGTTGTGGTGTGTTATTGTGGCAGACTTCAGTAATTACCTCAGCCAAGCAGGCGTTTAGTCCCGTGAAGTTTGTTTGCTTTTGTTAATTAGCAGATATCGCAAAAAAACTATTGAACAGATTTCAGTTAAATTTGGAAGAAATTCAGGCCTCGGGCCAAGAAGGAACTGATTAGATTTTGGTGCAGATAGCGCGAATATGTGATCATTTTTTATTTGAAAAAACGTATGTTTTGGGGCATTTTACACCCGTATAAAGAAAATTCTTTTTCTCCACTGCTGCAAACCAAATCTACCTACGGGGGACAAATAAAGTAACCTGGACCTGAACCTGAATCTTCTGGATTACTTGGATTAAGATTAATCCATCAGTTTAGTGGTGTTCTAAATCTTACTCTGGTCATTGCATTGTGGATAGGTAGGCACCAGGCTTTGATATAGAAGAAGAAATGCATGAAATAAGACAAAACCCCTATATGTCTGGTTCTGCTGGATCTATTTGATATATATTTTTTTTTACAATGTTATAGGACTGCAATGCTTTTAACATGTACTACTGCCATAATGCATTACATTGTACAATTGCAACCACATTCTGGCCACATACTCTGAGTGTTCCTGCAAAATTTATCAATCAATTAATCAGTCACACCTTTTAGGGGCTGCACAGAACGAATCCAACAAATCTTTACCGACGGCTGCACTGCACAGTTTTTGTAAGGTTGCTGTTGGCCCAGCCAATCTGTGTGTATGTGTGTGTGCATGTGTGTATGCAGCTGTAGTTTTGTGTGTCCTGTATCTACCGCCTGTATAGCAGAGTGACCTTGATGTCTGCACACAGCAGGAAGACACTAGAGAGGAGTGATTAACAGGAGAGAGACAAAGAGAAGAGAGAGAAGTGCGAAGAAAGATGAAAATTAACAGAAAAAGAAAGTGTAGCGAAAGATGGGCAAAGTGTGAAAGTTAAATATGCAGCAAAAAACACAGCTAAAAGAAAAAAGAGCGAGAGAGAGACGGAAAGATGTTGTAAAAAATTGAGAAGTGGAGAGGGGGAGAGGAAGTAGGGTGGAGTGGAGGAGTGACTCACCACACATCTATTGTTTTTTTTCTTCTTCTTCTTCTCCCTACAGGCAATCTGGAGGTGCAGTCATCAAGAACAGGTAAGAGGGAGGATGAGAGATGGGAGAGGGAGAGGTGGGTGAAAAAAAAGGGGGAGGAAGGAACAAAGAGAAGAATATTACACTGAATGGTAATCAAACTCACACATGTACAGGTGAGAAGATGTAGTGCATACACTGTCCTCACAGTGAAAAATGTGTTACTGTAGTGCATGTGTGAGTGTGTGGTTTGAGCAGCATGTTGTTGCCAGCTCGTCTGCTGTGACCCAGGTTAATAGGACTGTGCATCTCCACGGCTCTCCTGCACACACACACACACACACACACACACACACACACACACACACACACACACACACACACACATTCAACCACACACACCATACCTGCCCAGGACTGTCCATTGACTGCCCCTTTTGACTTACACACATGCACTAACCCTTAGAAATGTTCGCCGCTTGAAGCCACACACACACACACACACACACACACACACACACACACAAACACACACACATTTGCCCTACACCTGTCCATGAAAGCCCACTCGAAGCCCTGACTCTCACACACGTAAACATAGATACACATATGCCAAGCTTCTGGCATCCTGTTTCCCTGCTGATGTTGGACTGTATTCCCTTCCTTGTTCTCCACCTCTGACCCCCACACACCCTCCCTCTATCTATTCTCCCTCCTCCTCCTCCGCTCTTTTCTTTTTCAGTCTTGGTGAAGAGTTCTATAAGGAGGCCATTGAACACTGTCGCAGCTACAATGCCCGTCTGTGCGCTGAGCGCTCCATGCGTCTACCCTTCCTGGACTCCCAGACCGGCGTGGCCCAGAGCAACTGCTACATCTGGATGGAGAAGAACCACCGTGGACCAGGTGTGTGTTTGTGTGTGTGTGTGTGTGTGTGAGGTGTGTGTTTGATACCTGGGCAGAATAAAAGCAAGTGGTTGTGTGGTGTGTGCGGTGTGTTTGCCAGCTGTTGAGCTACACAAATTATTCTCTCCAGTCATTTGTCCCGCGGCTTCCTTCCTCTGCTCTGCTTGTTTCTGTCTCTCTTTCCTTCCTCTCTCCTCTCCCTCATTTCCTCCCCCTCCTCTTTTCCAGGCCTCCTACCTTTCACACCTCAACTTTTTTTATTTTTACTTTCCCCAAAGGGTGTTTCCTCATCGCTTTCTCTTTCTCTGTAACATCAGTGTATTTTGGCAGGGAATCAGACAGCCCTGTAGGCAATGATACGCCGCTGGCACCAACTATTCCGGAGAGAACGCACTTATGTGTATGTGTGTGTGTGTGTGTGTGTAGGTGTGTGTGTGTGTAATGTGTTAACGATTTGAGTTTGTAGGGTTTTGTCTGGTGTATGCCAGTACAATTCTTTTGTTTGTTAGTTACTTATTTTTTGTTACAACCTTATTTACATAGAATGCTATTTAATTAAATTGAGTGTTTGTTTAAGATTCAAGGTTTATTTCTATTTGGTTAATTAAAGGGATATTTTAGTGGCGGATTATTCATCACTGACAACAATGCCATAAAACTTTCCAACAGCAACAAAAAGTGGTTTATATTCAAAAACTGTATTAATAGTGACACTTCTTTACCACAGCTATTTATATTTTTAGCCATGAATTCATGGTTCCCAGAGAATGAATCCTGACTTTTCATATAAAACGCCACAATTAGTCAAACAAAATGAAGCTAATGTAGATATACTTAATGCTAATATTCAGTTATCCAGTCATCCACTTTTGGCCCTGCACTAATGAATGTATGAATGTATGTGTCCTATAACCGAGCTGTGTATTCCTCTGTGTTTCAGGTCATGCTCCAGGTCAGTTGTACACATATCCCGCTCGCTGCTGGCGCAAGAAGAGACGGCTAAACATTCTGGAGGACCCGCGGCTTGTACCGATCGAGTTCAAGATCGGTAATTAAGCAATTTTAATAACTTTTGCCACTGATAGAACTGCGAAATTTGTGTATCCACGGGGTGCATACTGTAGTGCTAATTGTAAATTGATGCTGGCCATTATCTTTGAACCTCTTAACGTGACATTTTTCCCTTTCAATTGCCCTTATGTAGCCTTAAGGTTTGAAAAATTTAGATGGAGCCATTAAGTGTTAAACAATTTTAAGACTTAATGGCTCAGGGCTCGGTTCACAGTTCTGTGTCCTCACTGAGCTTTGTGTTTGTATCATAATTGAAAGAAAGTTTAGTTAAACTCACAATAATTTGTATATTTTGCTCATTTGCTGGTATTCTGCAGAAGGCGGGTTACACCGAGAGAAAAAGTGGACACCACAAGCAATAGACAATCATGTGATATTTTAGACAAAATGCAGATGATCACCTCATCGTGTGAACACTGCAGAAGATGAAATACTTCATGCCGTCATGAAGCAGCCAACTTTTGTTTCCTCGGGGCACTGTCAGCTCAACTGAGCATGCCAGCATGACTGTGAGATCTCTGCTGTTTTCTGATTGTAATTGTCTCACTCTCTAGACTACGAGGCTTCTCTAAAGAAGGAGGGGGGCATTCCAGACGGGCCTGTGTTGGAGTCGCTGCTCGCCGGGGAAACCCTGGACAAGAAGGTAGAAACCAAGGAAGAAGAGCCAATGAGCGAGTGTCAGGTGAGACTCTCGTTTCTCTTTCCTCCCTCTCTCATTTTCTCTCTCCCTCTGCAGTACTTTGTTGTTCTCTGTGTCTTGTTCTTGTTGTTTTCTTCCTTTGTCAGGCTATCTATCTCTTTTTATCTGTCTGTATTACCCTCTGTGTTTGTGTTTCTTTGTCTGTCTCTGCCTTTGTCTCTCTCGGAGCGTGTGTTTTGGCGGTGACACAGGCTCCCGCGGCTCTGACAACTCCCTCCTGGCATCGAGCGTGTGCGTGCTTGTGATTGTGTGTGATTGCACTGCAGCCAGCCTGTGTTTTACAGGGATTCCACTCGCGTGTTTTACAGACCAACCTTGTGAATAACTATTTAAAGGACTTTAGGGGGAAGTCAATCCACCTCTTTGCTTTATACAGCAGGTCAGCACTCAGTAACTTCTGAGCAAAAACTTGATGCCCATCTGGCTGGAGTATTTCACCAGCCAGAGGCAGTCGCTCTTGAATTCAGACGGACAGCTAATCAATCAGCAGTTGAGTGAATGGCCCTCACAGTGGCCCTTTGAGATCTTGAGTAGTGTTTAGGGCCTCTAATCCAGGGCTTCCCCTGACTCCAGCCCAGCTTGGGGCTCACCCGGGCAGGCATGATTTCAATGCTTTACCCCTGTCATAGCTCCATGTGCCCACTGTACTCTTCCCTTACTGTTTTGGTTTCCAGATTTTTTATGACTGTCTCTATTTAAAGGAACAATCCATTGATATTATGCACGAAGTTCCGTTTATTCGTCACTATACAGTACTACATAGCCTGTTAAAACAGTTGTAGACTGAATGGGAAATGTAGGAATCAGTGTTTTTCAAGCTTGACCAAAAGCTTGGTCTTTGCTGCTTGATTCCTTTTTTTAAATGTACCTCTTGTGTGTCCCCTAATTTACAGAAGTGCAGTAAAGGAAAGGTGAAAAGAATTATACCAACTAATCTGTCTTACTCTCTGTCTCTCATCCATAGAAGCTGCTGGTCGGGGATTTCTCTCATGAGCTGGAGGTGGACGAGATGGAGGAAGACGTCCCGAAGCGCAAGAACCGTACCAAAGCACGGGTGAGACGTCAATGACATTCATAATTCATCTATTTTTTTCTCCCTTCTCTTCGTTTTATTCTGAACTAACAAGCCATAAAATAAATAGTTTGGCTGTCAGTGCAGGGGAGTGAAGCTCGAAAAGCCAAAGTCTGCAACAATGACCCAGATGAATCTCAAAGTCGAACAGTGATGTGAAAGTTCAGTGTGCTGCCTGTCAAACACAGAGCATAAAGTGTCCTGATTTGGATTACACTATGAGATGACAGCCCATAACTTACTCTGATGTAGACCTGTAGGGAATCTGGTATATTTATGAATCCCATATAAGCGGAGTGTAACAGTCCTGCGTTGCTGGAGAAATTAGTAAATGAAAGCTTACGTTCCACTATATACATGCAGAAATTGTATTAATTGCATATACAGAAAGAATGTGATTGTTTTCTAATCCCTGGTCTGAGGTTATGATAGATATGATTTATTGCATTTCAAGTCTGGAATCATTTTGTGCTTTCTCTGTAGTCCTGCCTTAGTCTACAGTGAAATGTCATCTGACAAACCAACAGTTATTACGGAGGATGAATGCAAACGGATCCAGAGATTTAAATCATGCTGGGACAACCTTTTTTTTTTTTTTTTTTTTTTACAACAACTTTGATTAGATCAGACAGCCCTCCCCCCACACTCTTTTGGGGCATCCTATGGGAAGATAATCAAGTGTTAACAATGTATTCTGAAACTCATCACACACACATACACACTCACTCACACGCAGGCACCAGGGTTGCTAATTGGAGCTGTTGCTCCCCTGCTAGGTGTCATCAGCCCCCTCCTGCTGGAAGTGAAGCTTTACACTGAGAGCAGATGATTAGAATGCAAACGTGTGTGTGTGTGTGTGTGTGTGTGTGTGTGTGTGTGTAGACACTTGAACACACAAGTGAGGAGTGTGCTGTTACGCTCTTTTTATATGTGTGTGTGTAGAGGACTTGTGTGACAAGTGTGGAAGTTCAAACTTTTTGTGTGTATCTACATTTGTGATTTTGCATGTGGCTGCCTGAGTTCTCACAAGTGTGCGTGTGTGTGTGTGTGTGTGTGTGTGTGTGTGTGTGTGTGTGTGTGTGTGATGATCTCTGCAGGCCTACGGTGTCGGGGGCATGAGGAAGAGACAAGAGCCGCCTGCCATTGAAGACAGAGACAAGCCTTACGTCTGTGACAGTGAGCGATGCATTATTTCTTTATTCCTGTTTCTCCGTACTCTGTTATTCTTCGCTTACACATAGGCTACAGAAACCTAATTTTCTACACTGTGTGTGTGTGTGTGTGTGTGTGTGTGTGTGTGTGTGTGTGTCTGTCTGTGTGTCTGTCTGTGTGTGTTTGTTTTACAGTCTGTGGAAAACGCTATAAGAACCGCCCAGGGCTGAGTTACCATTACACTCACACACACCTGGCAGATGAGGAGGGGGAAGAAGACTCTGAGCGACACACACTACCCTTCCAGCGCAAGAACAACCACAAGCGTGAGTCTGAATATTTAACATATTCATAACAGTCCAGCTGTCCATCATCATCCATTATTTACTTGTGGACTGTTTTGGTTGGTTGTGCAAGCTGATCCTGGGTCCTCAGGTACAGACAAAACCTCATTCATAGTTTAGGTTTTGCAGTTTCAGTGTCCTTCCAACAATCCTTAATAATCAGAATATTATCAAGAACTATTGATTGTCCTGGAGTTCCTCCTGCAGTATTATAGATGGTTACAGTGCTGACTGAGCTAAATACAAAGTGTGCACTTGTGTGGATGAAGGATAGGATTTCTCCCAGTGGTACTGGGTTTTGATGATTTCCCAGCTCTCTCACTTATTCCCTTTTCAGGCTGACGCAGTGACAAATGTTAAAACTGTGCAGTCAATCAAAGTGGGCCATGATGAATAATTCGACTTGGTTTCTTGACCCAACTGGGTTAAACGACGGTTTTGCTTGTTGTTCCCTGTTGATAGCACAATATGTGAAGTCTATTGAACGTTGCACATGAGATCTCAATATTTACATGGTTGCCCCAAGGCTTACTTAGCCCAAGGGTAATTTCACCTTTTCCTACAATGTAGCATTTAACCTTTCATTGTCTGGGCTGCTGTAGCCCAGGGCTAAAGTCATTGTCAGACCTCTTGTATTAAAGGTCGGACAGTCAGGTAGAATGCAGAATCAGCTGCCAACAAGCACAGGGATTCATATAGATATTTGTCTTGATAATAATACTCTATTTACACACTGTATAAGGGCGAGTGATGATGGCAAACATACTGTATGACAGAACAATAACTGCAAAATGATTAACACTAATAATATACTCTGAATGTAAAGGTGAACATCATTTCAGTGTATCAAGTATAAAGGTTCATTTACTGTCAACACAGGGTTGTACAATGAATAAGTTGTAGCCCCTTCATGCTACACACACATAATATTTTTATTTTTTAATTTAACCTTTATTTAGACAGCAGCAACACAACACAAAGTTACAGACAGACATCCAATGCAGAGACAAAATAGAACCAAAAAATCCAATAAGTGATAAGTGCAATAGTGCCAAAGGGTTAGTTGGATTTTAAATACTAAAGAGCAAACCCCCGTAATCGTTCTCTCTCCAGTCTTCTTAAAGTAGTTTAAAATCCCAGAGGGGAATCAGGCTGGACAGCTTCAGTTCCTGCTGTTCTGTGTTTCAGGTTGAAGGGGCAGAGTAGGAGATGGCCTCTTCACCAAATTCTATACGGACTGAGGGGATGGAGAGAATAAGCAAGTCCTTGTAGGCTATAGCAGCATTGTTTATGTGACATGTGAGTGGATAAATAAGTGGGCAGCAGTCCAAGGATGGATTTATAAATGCAGTTATGCATATTTAAATTAGAGTAGAACTATAAAAATAAAATAAAACTACCGTATAAATAAATCCTCTCTGTCGTCACCTATGTGAGTTAATGTAACACTTCAGACAGCTGGAACAGCTGCTGCGAAGATACATCAGCTCTTCAATCAACACTTGTCAGCTCTAAATAACTGTTAGTGAACAAACACTAGTCACACAATTTGCAGCGCACTCTACATTTATATTTCAACTTCTACTGTGTGCACCTTACGATTTACAGAACACAGTGCGGCTGCAGCTATCAGCGGCTTAATGAGTATCCATTAATGTGCTGCTCCAGAATATCATGAGCTAGTAATGAAGACGCGTGAATGCCTCCAGGACTTTCCAGACAGTCTAGGTATGTATATAGATGCAAAAAGGGGCAGATGCTTTTCTTATGAAATGGCATATCATGGATTAATACAATGAAAAAACTGAAATATCTTAACAACTATTGGATGGATTATTTTGTACAAACATTCCTGTTCCCCACAGGTTGAAAGACTTTAGTGATCCCTTGACTTTTCCTCTAGGGCTTTCATTAGGTACCTACAAAACTAAAATCGTAGCATGGTAAAGCACTAAATTAAGATGGTGAGCATGGTAAAAAATCATACCTGCTTAGCATCAGGATTGCCATTGTAAGCATGTTAGCGTGCTACATTAGCATTTAGGTCGAAGCACCCCTGTACCTCACAGAGATGGTGGCATGGCTGGAGACTCTTGTCTTGTTCCTAACTGACTCAAGATTTTGAGGGATGAAAGATATCGTGCGTTTTACTTGATGTCATAGCAATAAATAGTTACCATAGAGGATCATCCAGGATTATCCCAGCGAAGGATCCTAGAAATCACATTCATCATTCCACCCCTTAAGATTTATGTCCAGTGTCAATGTTCACTACCAGTGCAGGGTGTAGTGTGTCCCATATGAAGCAAGGCAAAAAGTAAGGCTATAGAGGCTGAGGTGTCTTTTTTAAAAATGTAACCATGATTTTTCCATAACCATAAGAAAGTATTTTTGTTGCTGTAAAGTTGCTTTGTTAAAACAAGTGTTAAATAGTGCTACATTCTGACAGCTATCGACTGTTCAGTCAGTATAATGGGTCTTCCGGTCCCTCCTTTCTGCAACAAAAACAGAGAATACATTTTTTGGTATCATGTTCCCACTTTATGCAGTCAGAAGAGAGGACTCTAAAATGAGCTGGTCCTCTCCACATTTTCAAGGGCAGGAAGGGGAGGAGGCAGGGGAGTGCTAACTGCAAAAACAGACAGGAAATTTGCCAAAATGCCAATTTTACTTATAGCGCCTTTAACCCTAACCATACTAACATAGTTTATCACAATCTATTTCTGATTTTAAACATACTGTAGCTGTCGTTGGCTGCTATTTTATAAAGTACAAGTACGAGCAAACATTTGCATTAAAAAAAAACCTGTCACTGAACATACTCAGAGGTTTTGCAGAATCAGCCAATATCAACTTTCTCTGCTGAGGAGGTCTGAAGGCCCCACAGGGTGCCTGAATGTGCCTTATGAAAGAGGAGTACAATCTGCAAAGTTATCATTTTATAGAAGTTGGACATTTCTAAAGTTTCCCTTCCTCCATTAATGATGCTCCATTCCATTTAGGTTGCTCCACTAAGCCAGGATATGCAGACCAGATCTTGGTACTACATGGAAAATATTTAATGCAATGTGGCCACTATAAAAGTTATACTTATAACTGAGTTTGACAAGTTAAGATGCCCATCATGAAAAATGTCTCATGCACATCTGGCTCAGGGACATTTACTCACACTGAATATCAGTGTGGATTTAATCTCATACCACATCATTCCCTATGGGACTTTTGGCTTGTATTTAATAAGATAAACTGCAGGAAGTAAGTAGAGTTATTGCGTTTTGGCAGACTTCCTGAAGCCGTAAAGGGACCTGGTGCAAAATCTAGAGGGATCCAGGTTTGTACAGGAATTTAAAGAGTAGAGGACAGTTGTCCAAAGATCACTTGTTCAATGCAGATGCATAACAGTACTGCGGGTTGTAGGCAACCCAGCGCAAGGCTACAAAGGTTCTAGCAAACGTACCATGGGTACCATAAGAGAGTAAGAATTGCTAGTGAACAACAGGTAAAGCAAATATTAAAGTTTCTATGAATCAAACCTCAAACCTCCCGTCCTACCAGCTGCAGAATCCACACTAAACAAATTGCTTGCCATATTTGTTTCTTTGTGACCATTTATTCTCTCCCCCAGGGCCAGTTTTCTATCAGTGTTTGGGTTTTGTCCTGTGTTGTCTTCTGCCTGCGTGTTTTGTTTGTTTTTGAGGACTTCTTTTGAGGACAATAGTATGTATTTATCCTGCGGGGGGTTCTGTTTTGGTCACTAATCATCAGGAAAATGGCTACAGTTGTTCACACTCAAAAAAACCAAGAGAAATAGCTGTGGACATTTGAAAAGGCAGCGCAGACGATTCATCCACTGTCTTTGTTCCTCCCGGTCTTAAAACAAGCAATTTGCTCAGAATAGAACGCAGATAAACACACAAAAACACACATATCCACATTATCTGTGTATGCTGTGCTACAACAATGTCCACACTGAAACTATGCTGCCTCTCAGTTAATTGGCAGTGTGTGTTTTTAAATTGGCCTGTCTGACAGAACAGACTGGGCCAGTATGTGTGTGTGTGTATGTGTGTACGTAGGTGTGTGTGTGTGTGTGGCCATGCTGCAGTCTTAGGTCTCTCCAGTGGAGGAGAGCAAGAGAGACAGCATTTGAATCGTTTAATATCCCCCATCACTCCCTCCCAAACAGTCAGTAATCACACACACGCACGCATGCACACACACACACACACACACACACACACACACACACACACACACACACACACACACACACACACACGCACACATGCATACACACGCACACGCACACACACACAAACACACACAGCCTCAGAAAATGCAATCTTCTCTGCTGAAATGAAAAAGGAAGCTTAGCCTTTTGGGTTGGTGTGTATGTGTTTGTGTGTGTCCACATGCACAAGTGTGCATGAATTTGCAAGGCTCTGGGAGTGTGTTCATACGTGTGATTGTGCACGCATTAATGTTTGTGTGTGTGCGCCATTATAGCTTTCCCCAATTTGCTGAGCGTCATGGAGGAGACCCTCCACCCTCCACCCTCCATCCTTCGGTATATTGCCACATATGTAATAATTTTAATATGGCTCCCCCGAATGAGAGCAACCCTGCATGCATAATTCATGCTATACAAAAAGCTGTCTAGACGCTGGTATGTATGCCTTATGCACTACACAAGTGTAAGCTGAAACTTATCACAAAAACTATGAAACAGTCTTTTCTGAACCTTATCCAGTTCCATTCTCTCTCCCATTTTTTCCATAGGTGTGATAAATGAGTGATTATTCCACCAGGAGATGAGATTTTCCTTTCCTCTCTTTCTCTTCGTCCATCTTTCTCCACTTTCCTCTTCTCCATTTGCTCTGCATCCTCACTTAACCCTCCTCTTCCATCCCTCTCTGCTTCTCATTTTCCATTCTCCTCTCTCTTGTTTTGCTTCATCCATCATCCAGCTTTGGGTTTCCTTT